TACTACTACTACTACTACTACTACTACTACTACTACTACTACTACTATGCTTCAACTACAACTACTACAAATACGACTACCATACTACCACTACGACTTCGACAACAAAATCATCTTCTCGCTCATCGTCGTCATTTTCTGAACTCTGTTTGGGATCTCTTGCCGGGATAAACTTTAGTGCTGCTACAGTACCGATGTGCATAGCTTTGGTACATAATTTCCACACACACAAACACTTCTTTGTGCTCCCAAGACTCTCGCCTGTTCAAAAATGATGTTCACATCGCCTTTTAGGGAGAGGCTTAATATTATTTTGCAGCCCATCACAGTCATCATCACTTTGTGTGAGCTTTGAACACCCCACGACATATGACTGGACACAATACGGCAGGGACTCCTGGACTCCGCCCCGTTAGGGTGGTGGTCCAGGAAGACTTACAGGCTTGCTAACCACAAAAGACCCGGTAAAAGCTGACCTCTTTCCAATCATGAGTTCATTGTTGCAACCCTACCGAGCCCATCATGAAACCAACATGTCCCCTTTGAGGATCCACGAGTTTGCAATGGCGACAGGTCATTGTCAGAAGCTAGGGGACCAAGTCCTTAGTCCTTCGTCCGCCTGAAACATCCCCAGTCCCAGCAAACTTCAGTACGTCCTCGCGGTCTCCGTACGTCCGGTTCGCCCCGGTGCACGGCCGTGCGCCTACACACGGACGGGAGTGAGGCTGGGAGGGCTTTGTCCTCCAAGGAGCCAATAGACCTGGCGTTTCAAGCGAAGAGCCGGCTGGACTCGAGAACGGAAGGGTTCTTTGGACCTTTAAAAGAAGGCAAAATGCGACCGGGAAGAGGGTTTGAGCTACAAGTACCAGTCACATGAAGTAACCCATAATTCTTTGTTCTCTGGTTGTAGTTTTTTATATGTTGGCAGTCGAGCGCACATCGTTCAACAGATCTACAAGATGTTCTGATGGTTTTCAGGCTCGGAATTATTGGCAGAGTTGGTCTTGATCTCAAGAAGAAAAATCAATTGGTTTGTTGATAGATCGTGATAGATCTGTTTGAGGCTGCTCTTTTCCATTGAGGGCCTTGCAAATTGCACCCTGCCAGGGACCAAAACCAATTGGCAAAAAGGCATCCCTCAAGCTGTGTTGCCAATAATTCCATCAACAAAGCTACACGAATCCCAACCACATGCAATATCTCACCACATCTATAGACTATACCCGCGTAGAAGCCATCAAAACATCGCCTGCTTCATCGCACCGCATGCCCTTTAGACACCAGTCATAATGAAGCCATGCAACGAACTCGTGATAGGAAAGGAAACCATCCTTGTTCGAGTCTGCGGCACTGAAGATGATATCGCCTTGGCCGCACACACTCTATCGCATTGGGGTGTTCAGCCATCCAGCGGGATATTAGAGAAAGAAGCCGTTCCTCGAAACAGCTTGCTTACCTTTGGGTTTTGTAAGGGAGATCTTGTGGAATATGACCAGTACTTCTTGGCTTCTTTCAACTCTTTTCTCTTTGATCTGCGAGTCTACAGCAACTCAAACAAGCTCATTCCTCAAGTCCCGCAGTTCAGGCTCGTGGGCAAACGCTTAGCTAAACCAGGTGAGTGTGGTGAGTACTTCCACCAATGTCATGGCGCTTCCAGCAACAAAAACACATGGTCGACCTTGTTCTTGGGCCAAACGTTTGAACATGGTCTAAGTTGAAGGGTTTTCGTCCCAGCAGCAATCTTTCTGCGCAATTCCCACCGCCAACAGGACCTTGCACATCTCGTCCTCACGAAGATCAGCGGAGCAAAAAGGCTCGTCTTCCGGAGTGTGGATGTTCAAGGTTCATCTTCGTTATTGGGAGCGAAACACCTCTACTGTACGTGGAGCATGAAACACAACGCGTCATGAAACCATCCATGTGTCATGCATCAAGGCCCCATCCTCTATCATACACCATCCCCTACTTATAATATTTCAAGTATAGAAACAGAAAACAGTAGAATAACTAGAAACACACATATTTCAAGTAGAAACACACAGTGCGACAGTGATAAGCCTATGCCCCTAAGCCAACATGAAGAACTACGCCTGCCGGGCTGGAAAATCAACGAAACAACACCGTCATCTGCATCTCTGGTTTAGTGAAGAAACATGGCCTTCTGCACCGTGACTGTTGCCCTAAAGTAGTGACATGCTTGAGGTGAATGTCCTAAACTATATAGTACGTTATACTGTGAAATTTACTAAGTGAGAGTTCCAAAAAGATTCGACACATGGCCACAAAAAACTGTGCCCCTCAAACAGCGTCCATGAACAAGGACTGACCCAAACGTCTCCGGGATCGGTGTCCTTGGAGATGCGCCCATCCCCGCTGGTGTCCCACTTCCTGGCGCGAGCCCGCCCCACGAGCCCCCCAAAGAAGCGAAGCTAGGAAGAGCCCTTGTTACTAGCTTCTAGCTACTATAATGCCCTTGTTGCTGGTAGCGATGCCCTTGTTACTGGAAGAGATGGTTGAAGCGAACGAACACCAACTGATCTAGGTGAACAGGCTCCGTATACCAGTACTACCCAGTACCATTCAATCCATCGTTTTCGATGGGGCAAGTCGGGTTCGGAGTTCATCGGCGTCCGGGGACTGGGGGCATCTGCCTCCATTCTGTCTTTGGAAATAGTCCAGAACCGAGAAATACTTGCTCTTCCTGCGACAAACATGGAAATGGACTTGTCCCCTCTTAGAGAAAACTAGTCCGAACATGTCCGAAGCACACACACAATATACACTGGCAACTTGTGGCGAGGATCTGGAAATGGTCAAGCCACGTCAAGCCTCACACAAGCGCATACAGAAAAAATAACACATAACTGATCTCGAGAAACCGGTTCATCTGCTCCACTATGCCACATATTGCCACACTAACCATAGTTAGTTATAATACTCATCTAATACTGATACAAGAAACAACTTATGCCCTCTAGTTGCACCAAGCAACTTGCCCTATCCCGTCAGCCGAAAAATCCTCACCAACTGATTTCAGCTGACTCTCGAAAACGTGCCAATCACCTGAACTGCTTCAGCACCTCACCCTTGGCGTCACTGCCTGGGTGGCCACGCACCAGCAGGATGATCAAATCTGATGAGATGACATCACCCTACTCCATGGGACTGGAATATATTGAAAATTATACCTATTATTTACCTATACATTGACCCCTCGAACCAGCCCAATGTTGGTGAATAGTGGTCATTTATATCCACATATTATAATTATGGAAAACTATGTTTGTGGACTTTGTGGAGTGTCTGGGTATGCAACAGAACGGCTTTTGCATGGTTTTGGCAGGCAGTATTAGTATTTGTTGGACATTCACCTGATTCCATTGATTTGTTGAACGTTCGTAAGCGTTGATTCCATTCCTCAACTGTGGGACAGCCAGAAGGTGTTGAGTGCAGCTGTTTTTGGGGGACAGGAAGAACCTGACCTGCGCTTCTTTTCGGTTCGTCGATACGTCACGTTTCTCCCAATCATAGTGGGCCACCAAAAGGCAAGGTAGAAAGCCTTGCAAAAAAAGCCAGTGTCTATGTGCGAGTCAAGGGAACTGCATCATCTGCATCTCCTTTCGTGGTTTGAGACTTTGTTTGATTCAGAAAGGACACAATCCTTCTTTCCAATGGACTGGCCGAACAAACAATCAACCTGTTTTTTCGAGGACTAGGAACGTCAAGCCCACTGCGGTCAAGTCCCCCTCTAAATACGTGGTCCCATGGTGCTCGTCGACATCGACGCTTCTTGAGGCCTTTACTTTTGCCAAACATGTCTGAAAGCGAAACACATACCGTACCTCATCATACCTCATCTATGGTTTACTCAAGTGCATGGAACATGGTCTTTGCCGCACCGAACCGGCCGCGTACCCGAACCTGCCCATGTTCCGAACACCCCGGCAGATGTTCCCTGCCCGGTCAAGGGGCTATCGTTGGTCGTCTGCAACGGGATGACTTTACCTCCCAGCCTCAGTCCATGACGTGAACTGGTCTGGTGCGGCTGGTCCATCCGGAACTGGTCGATCCACACGGTTGGAACCCATGGTGTTTCGCTGTTTTTCGTACGTGAAACCGGGGGAACTCCCTGTTACCTACAAAGACAGGCGGAAAAAACATCCCCCAGTCTGACTGGTTCGGATGTTCGGGGCAGTCAGTAGCCCCTTGATCAAATAACACATGTCACATTGATCCAGCATATGAATATCATCATGATGGACGTGTGCAAACCCAAAAACATCATGGGGATCGTGAACTAGAACATCGATTGAATCCACAATTTACATAAATGACACCAGATTCTGTCTCTTATATTTCCTTCATGTCCGGGATGGCTGCTATCATGCCTCCTTGGCTAGCGCACGATGCATGGCATTCGATCGGGCCATGTCAGGACTGGGTACCCAAATGTAACCAGCAATTCAACTCCCAGATTGTCCCAGTATGTCTCAATGGTCAGCCTCAATCTTGCTAGAACCCACTCTATGAATATGCATGCGGGCACTCTGGAGGGTCATATATTTATATGGTCATTCCAGTACTGTTCTCTCCTACCAAACCATCCAGGCCTATGAATTCAACATCCCAACAAGATCCGAGGTCATCAAGCCCGTCGTTCACTCACTCACTCGCTCTTGCACTCTCCAATCTTTTGCGGATCCCTGGTCTTGAAGATCCCTCCAATGACCAGGGATCTTCAAGATCCCTCCAATGATCCCTGTTCTTGAAGATCCCTGGTCTTGAAGATCTGGGTCTCCTCCCAACCGAGGCCCCCCGCCCTTTGACCCGTGCTGCCAGCTCCCCCGGATGACGTCGCACCGCCTGGCCCCACGAATCGGATCGCGCTGAAGGGGGTGCTGGTAGAGGCGCGTCCAGACGGCTCGAGGGGATCAACAAGCACCAAATTCAGATGGGCACTGGACCAAAGGTTGGTTCCCTCCAATGAACTCGAGTGGTCACCCAATGGAAATGCGTCCAAACTCGTGATCACGATTCTCATCGATTCTCGACATTTCCCTCCTTCGACTTCGAAAGCGCTTTCCTTCCCCGTGGCTTGGCCGGGCTCAACGGGCCCCACGACACGCGCCTCCGCACCGCCGTTCAAGAGATAGGCCGTGCTGGCCATGCGCCAGCTCCGCCGGTGGAGGTTCTCATCCTTAAGCAGGTGCCGATGGCCGGAGCTGTCTTCATGGAGAGAACCTGCGAGTGAGGTTTTCACTCAAGTCCCGTCGTTTTTCCCGAAATGTATTATGAGAGCTATTGGGGTTCGAGAGGTGCCGAGAGGTGTGCTTGGAGCCTGGGTGCTGGTGCCGCTGCCACAGGTGCACGCAGTGTGCGCTTTGGAGGTGCTGCTCGAGTGCGCTGCACGGGGCTGGTGCAGGGTGTTGATGCCAGATGTTTATGGCAGTCTGAGTTTTGGAGCCTGCATGTTGGTGTCGCTGCAGGCCGCTGTGCGAGGTTTATGGCAGTGCGCGACTTGCTGGTGTCATGCTGCCCACAAGTATCTTTTGCTGGGGTCTATGCCTATGCTGGCGTAATTTTGATGATGGACCAATAGAAGTTAGAAAGAAGCCTTTTTGCAGGCTTTGGTGGTGGCTTGACCTCCAACGCTCCGACCAGCCCCTCAAAACCGAGCTTCAATCGCCATCCGAGCACCATAGGAGAACCTGAGGCCATGCGCGGTTGGATCATGCCCCGGGCGGTTGGATCATGCCCCGGCCGTGAAATGCTGTGGATTGCCCACCCGGGTGTCCGGGCCAGTGATTTCCCACCATCCGGCGGTTGGCACCGTTCACCAAGCCCACGCAGCGATTGTCGTCCTGAGGGGTGTGAGAGCACGGCCCCGATGTGCGTCCCAAAGCGGGCATGGGTTTAAGTGGATGATAACGCACTGGATTCCTATATGTGGGTCTATGTCACACAATGTACACCAAACCATGTACACCAAGAAAAAAAACACGTTGTAAAACACTCAATATCAACTACACATCTCCACCTACCATGCTAACGTTTGGATTAAGTTTGACCGATATCGTACTGAATCAACATAGGGAACCTCCACTACGTCACCATCAAAGGCAAGCCGTGTCCACCAAAGCAAACTGTCCCTGCGTCTTGGATCTGCTTTTAGAATCGTTTTAGCCTTTCTCTAAGTAATGCGTAAGTAATATAATATATGGATGTGGTTTCTACACAACACAAGCCTGGGTGAAGGAAAAGTTTGACTGTGGTGCGACAAGACAATATCAACAAGGAGTTTGCTACCCAACCAAAAGTTTAACACAAAAAACACTCATGGAACATAAGAAACATGCTTCTCTTGAATCATTGATATCTGTAAAGACCTGTCTTCTCGACGCACTCCACAGACCAAGCACATGTTCAGCTTCCATTTCTCAGCTTTCAAGCACCTCAGTTCTCTTCTTTCCTCGTTTCCATATATCTAATTCTTGTTTCTAATAGCTTCTTGTTCCTAGTCGTACGGCCAGGAGCCCCTATTAGCCAGTAGCGTCCTTGCTCCTAGTGGTGAGGCCAGGGCCCCTGGTAGCGTTCTCTTCTTTCCTCGTTTCCATGTCTCCTCTCCACATCCCCAGCCTGGGATCTCTGTTTTCATCCCCAGCCAAGACTCAGCCAGCCTCTGGGCTGTGGACAGGGCGTCCGCATTCAGGAGCACCCTGTGTGACGCGATGTAGGTTTATCGGTCTGGTCGTCTTGTCGGAAAGCGGTGCACATCCGAACAACAAAGGCTGCATTGGGAGAAACCGAAACTGACACTCCCCGGAACTAACATGGATGTGGATGGCATGGCCCCGAGTTCGGAAGACCATGAAATCCACTACAAACAGGTGGTGTGCCATCCACTTCCATGTGAATTGCAGCGAGAGTATAGGGATTGGACTTAACCGGCTTCTTGGACCGTGACCTGCTTGGACCCTTTTAGTCGTGACCTCTAGGCCTCTAGTCCTGGAATATCAAAAAGGTGACTTCGAAGATCCAAAGAAGAACCCAGGAAGGGATTTGGTTGGTTCAGAGATCCTCAACCATCCTTCCCAAATCCATCCAACTGATCCGGGGGATTAGCCTCTTCAGATTTCTGATCCAGCTAGCGTGAACTGATCCGGCTAGCGGGCGAGTCGCGATTCTTTCGGTCCCCCAGGTGCAAAAGATCGATGGCCCCGGTCGTGCGTCTGAGCGTGGCGGGAACCCGAAACCGGGAACCCCATGGGGAACCCGTTCATTCCTCCCAACAGCGAGCACTCACTTGGAGTTGGGCTCTCCCCTGTGCTAGGCTTGTAGAAATTTCCACACCTGGACCACAGGCACAGCTGGAAGCGCTCCTGGATTGAGTAATGAATGATTTTCCTCATGTGAGAACACAAAACACATTCACCCCCAAAAAAGAAACACCGAGGCCATGTGACACAATGCTGTAGAGAGAACAAACATAAATCTTTTCAGGACGTTCGCTTGTCTTCGCCGACGAACAAACACATGGTCATACATGGTCCAATCTACATGCTTACGTGTGTGTTCTATTTAAGAACAAAAGCAAAACAAAGGTGTTACAGATTGTTCCAGTTCTTTCCCATCAAACCAAAACACATGCCCTTCCTCTCGTCCTTCTCAAAACGCTCCAAAACGCGGTTCCGCAAACGCCGAACGAAGCGGCGTCCCAGCGGCTGAACGATGCCGTCCCAGCGGCTCCATCACCCGAGGCTTCAGCTGACCGCTCTTGATGCCTCCGTCAGGTCACTTTTGCGGTCGGAGCTCGGATGTTGGCCATGCTTCTGCATCGATCGTCGATTCTGTGGATCTTATTTGGATATAATTGTTTTCCTCAGAACGTTATAAACACCAGCACCACAGCTTTTCTGGTGCGAACATCCAAAAGTGGCGACCTCTTTCCACACCGGGAGGCGGCATGAAACGTCCCCCCTGTGGCCCACGAGTACGGAGTGAGATAAGGGTGCCCATGCCGCTGACCTCATCGGGTTCCATGTTAATCAGTGTGAGGCTATGCCGTGGTCGCCACGGGATTCTTGGCGCAACAGGGTGCTCGATGATGCTTGATTGTTGATGTCAATACAGGAGAGTCCGTTTCGATTCGATTTCCGGATTCGGTTCATCTGTTGCTTGCAAGATCTGTTGCGAACGCAAGATCCTCCAACAACACGACTCTGGACTCAACGGCTATCCCCACATGACGATGACGGAAGGACCGAGGACGGTCGTAGGCTCGGTCCTTGGGAGTCTGGAATGTGGGTCCGGTGCACGAAGAACGAGCAAAAGGGCCCGGTTCTATGACCTGTGCTCTTCAACTGGTCTTCCCATGTAAATCCTGGTGAAGACCGGTGGAATCCTCTGAGAAAGACAAAATCACCGGACGTGGCTCGGGACTGGCTACGTCAAGTGCTGCCTGGGCCAAAAAAGGTCCCCAAAACATTATTTGGAAAGAGCAAAGTACACAAAAACTATATACTATGTCTTACATTATCTTACTATAGAATATGTATTTACATATATTTGCTTACATTATCTTACATTGACCCCTGAAACCACCCCTAGGCTAAGGTAAATATACGGATAGCCTCCTACATCACCTACATCGACAGTGAACATACAGGATGCTGTGTGCCAAAACGCCGTCTCCAACGGGAGAACGTCCTCGCCCGCCCCTCTCCAACGAGACACTCAACAACATCTCCGTGAGGAAGGCGGTGGCATTGGCATCCAGCTCATCGCCTGGCTCGGTGAAAAACAGCGAGGCGAGTTTCCGAAGATCTCTGACGGCACCACCCGGTTTCTCCGTTTTCAACAAACGTGGTCTCGCCGTTTTCAGGTGCAGGATGTCGCTTTCAGTGTCACTGTCATCCAAACTAGTAGTGTACTAGTGGCTTGCTGAGCAGTCGTTGGACCGCCCACCACCTGCAGGTCTATCACCGTTCCTGGACACCATGAACCTGTCCAGTATACCTAAGAAACCTCAGCTTCGTCTACATCGTTATTGGATGTTATTGGGATGCTGCGATATTGTTCTCAGCAGTCGCTCCAGATGCTGCGATGGATCGAGTACCCAGGTTGGAGGGACAACCGTGGCACAGCTGTGTTCATCATCTTGATCATGCTCCGATCCCTGTTCACTCTCTTCGCTCCGCTCCCCCCTTCGCTCAGTTTCCCCACCTTTCCCACTGGGAGCAATGCAAAGGTGAACACGTTCCTCGGTGAAAGAGTTGTCGCGTTGAGGATGCTTGCGGATGTTGAGGATGGTCAACATATGTAAATTGTAATGAAGCTGGTCTGGCTGATTGTCCGATTTTATTATGTTGATTCATCTTGTCACCTCTTGAACAACCATACCTTTGGTACTCTCCAAACAAGAACTTGCCAAGTAACACTACCTGGTGTTTTGCTGCGGGAGTGTTTGTTTCAAATCTCAGCTCATTTGGTGGCCACACCTTGAAAACAAAAACCATCAGAAACATGTGCATTTCAATTGGGAAGTTGTCTGTATGCTCCCGAAAGGCAATGTTGTTGGTGCATCAACTGCAGACTGCAGCGTGAAACGAAATGGTCTATATACGGTATATGCGCGCAAACATATTCCAACGGTGGCTTTACAAATTCGCTTGATCCATTACTGTACGACACAAACAAGGGCAACATGGCCTCCAAACAAAACAAAAACATGCATTATATAATATATATATATATATACTATTTGTGGACTAAGGACATGAACAGAAGGGATTACTAAGGAGGTCAACCTACCCTGGTGAAAGGGGATCTGGGTGCCAAGACCCACAGCCATATAAGAATCCGGGGACCTCTGGCACCTGCGGATTCATGTAGATATTCGGCAATGAACTTAACCATACTTAACCCATCTTGCCTCCCCCACCTCCCAAATCTCCAACCTCCTCCAACCCTCAGCCTCCTCCCAAGCCATCACCCAGCCGTCACTGTCCCAATGGAAAACACACACAAGTCCGGCCAGGGGGCCACGGTGCTGTCGCTCACGGCCTTCACGAAGCGCTTCGCCAGCGCGTGCCGCAGCTCTTTGAGGCGTTGCCCGTGCAGGTTGGCCTCCGAGTGGTGCTGAGGGGTGGAGCAGGGGAAACATCGCTACTACTACTAATCTAGAGGCTCCTGGACCGTACTACTAGGTTGGAGGCCATCGCCATTGGGTTGGACACGCGGATTGAGCGGTGAGTCTTCTCGACCAAAGGGTGCGTGGACGGGGGAGGCCGCAGGGGCAGGGGCAGGGGTAGGAGGTGCACTCTACATATGCCTGACCGGTCGTCTGCTGGAACAAAAAACACGTCTTCTCATCCATCTGCCCAGCTGCCCTGTGCGCAAAAATCTCGGCGGAAGAACAGCGGCGGCCTCGGAGTAGTCGGCGTCCAACTTGTAGAGGTTCCGGAGGAAGGCGCCCATGCCGAAGGGGAAGAAGACCAAACTGGTGACCTGTTTTCCGAAGGGAGACTCGCCTTGAGACTCGGCGACGGGTGGGAATGGGTGGGTCCTGGTGACGGAAGGCGGGAGGTGATTCGAAAGGCCGAAACAGAACATTGAGCGGCTCAGGGAGCGCAACAAAAACACGAATAATTCACACTCTAAGGTTCTTAGCATGCAACCCACGATCAAACACAACATGTTGAATCATGTTGAATCTGTAGAATGTAGAAAGATCCAACAATTGGCTAAGGCTATGACATCTACCTCCACAGGTGCCAGCTGCTGCGTGCGTCTTCGGTGAAATATCCGTCTCAAATTGGGCGTGGTGCGCTGTTCGTGCGCCAGGTCACGGTTCTGTGATACATGAACTCTTAAATGTAGACTCTTGATTCATAACTTCCCCTCCACGCATGGTTTGAACATGTTGGAAGCACCTTCAGATGGGGGGTTGAAATATCATTACTTGCTTGACTGCATGACTTGCTTGACCCTTGAGGTTTCGTGTTCCTTCAATGCTGCCCATGGCAACATTTTTCTGGGTCGGTGCCTCCACACACACACACACACGATGGAAAGAAAAAAAAAAACGGTGCCCGGTGCTCCACTGTGGTGACGATCACCCAAAAAAACAACTGCAAACCATTCATAGCCTTGGTGTATGCCCAAACATTGCACGTATGTATATGTAGTATTTCCTTACATTGAACCCTCCAACCACTTCAATATCAGTAAATTTGTCATACATACATGGAGTGTCTGGAATGAAACCTGATACGGCCACCGATGTGGGAGCTCGCTGCACGAAAGCCATGCTCAAAACCGCATGGTGCCCATCTCGACGTCCTTTGAGGGCAAGTCACACCCAGTTTCTCTGCTGATTGGAGAATATTGTCCTGGGCTGAAAACGCGACCACGCAGTTGTGGGGGTCACCGCTAAATCACCTGGAAATCACCAAACTTGCTATTTCATGCTATTTTGGGGGCAGCGGCAACAACGTAGCCATCCCAAAACAAAAGGTGTTGGCACATCATGCAAGGCTAGCAAACTGATGCAACACGTGTATTTTTTCCAATGGAACAACGCCTCAGTTGTGGGACAAGCATACAGTAGCATAGGCCAACCATCAGAGCCGGTACAAACCATGAGAGGCGCGGAAATCCTATTTTCCACCTCTAAAATCGGGGTGAGTTACAATGTTTGCCCACTTGTGGGCGTTGGCTGCTTTTATCGGAATGTGATGGAAGAAAAGGGAGCAATGTGCATGTGCCTTCTGCAAACTTTGTGGTTGATCCTTTGCGAGGCAAATTCAAGGTCAGGCCAAATCCGGCCAAAAAAACATAAATAAATACCCAGAGTTTCCTGAGCTGTACGTGTTTCATGTTCGCGCCAAAACAGGTGCAGCGCCAAGAAAAAATTGGCCTCCAGTGGCAAGCTGCATGTGATGGGATTGTAAGATAATATCAGACGTATATGAGAAAATCAAGCACCCATCACTGTTAAGAACAAATAACAGTTGGATGATAGATCCCGGATGGAGATTGACAATACACTACCAAGCACAGGCGGGTGAGAGCAGCATCCGCTGCACAGCTACGCGCATGGGGTGCGTTGCAGCCACGTGCAATGGGTGGCACAGCTTGTCTACCTGCAGGCCAGCACATCCGAGCAGTGACTTTCACTGCTCTTGCTCTGACAGGGGGTTCTCACTAGGTATGTATAATTATATAATAAAAACAAATTCAAATCACTTCCCAGTGCAACCTGTACTGTAGATCGATCTATGTCTGGCCTGCTATATAGGGCACGCTCTTCAAACCCGATTCTTTCTCCGCTGCTTTGGTGGTAGCCTTTTGTTGGGAACTATTTGATGACAGCGCGACTTGCTCTGCAAGCGTCTTTTGTGTTTCTGAAAGCCGTGCGCTCTTGGACAACTTCTGGCTGATACATCAACAGGCTCTTAGGTGGGAAGCAAATTTCAGAAGCACAGCCGGTGTTGACAGAGTTTTGGGATCGCTTCAAGACGCAGCATCCGGACTTCGAACTGTTCACTACTGATTGTCAGAGATGTTGACCGATCTTTGTGTCTGCCGATCTCATGGTGACGGCAGGGGGCGTTCATGGTGTTTACAGTAGTTCGGTCATCGGGTGCTGTGGGAAAGCAAATGCCAAGGACCATTCAGTTCGAAGGTTTTTTCAAGAGAAAAGAAGCCCAAATCAATTTGTTGGGCCATTTTCAAGAGAAAGAACCCACTACATGTACTCTGTCATGCCAGCTGCCTGGCACAAAGATGATAGTCGGTTCCAGGCAATGCTGACAGAATTTGGCCGAGACTTGCGCGAGTGCTTTGACAAAGGTGTTGAGACTCAAGGTGTTTGTTTGCCGCTGGTGCTTATTGGCCTGAAGGCCGACTTGAAATTCCAAGTGCGAGCAAGAAAACTCACTGTGGTACAGCACGTGCTGCAAGGCTCCTTTCGAACTCAGGAAAGGGGCGCTTGGCCGGAGATGTCAAAGATGTCAATTTTCCTTTGAGGAGGCTCACACACTTTTCCCAGCAAGGAGGCAAGAGATGGACTTGACGTTGGGCCTCCACCGTGGGCTGGACAGCCCTTTGGTTTGCTCTCTCAGTCTCTTAGGCTTCGAAAACCAGCGAAGCAAATTCTTGTGGCCGAAGGCTCTCAGGAAGCATGTGCTTACCACAGTACATGTGCATCTCTCCCATGTCGCTTATATCTGCCAGGCCCATGCAGCTCCAAATGGAACTCAGTCCAGGGCGCAGGATCAGGAGGAAGGAAATTGGGATGGTTGAATGTTTCTTTTTGCTGACATTGCAGTGATTTATACGTGTATACTTTCCACTCGACCTGCCGATATGATGAAATTGGATGGGATCCTGGTTTGAGAGCCTGCTTCCTGCTTACTTGTTCATAGACTGTATATAGTGCGCGACGGTTCATGCTTTTCGTCCAGGTTTCATCCTGCAGGACGATGATGAAGAGGACTCTGACTCTGACTTGGGTGGTGAAGGACAGCGACGCGGCGGTAATAGGGGCCTGCGCAAACGGCTCTCAATCAATCAAAAGATGCTGGCAATTCGAGATGACAGGCTTGTCGAGAATGGGAAAACAACCGGGAATTGAACACATGATGGAGACCATGGACTACTTTGCAAGTATTCACAAAGCTTTCAAAACATTCAAGACAGGGATGCTTGGACGGTGGTTGACCCAATGCGATCTCCAGCAGTGGCGGCGGATTTCATGGGACAAGTTGTGCCCCAAGGACCGTGAGATGCGGGAGCTTCCAGACTGGATAAGAGTCCCCCTCGGTCAATTTCCCGCGTATTCTCGAAAAGTTCAAAGAGGGAAGGCATATACTGAGGGTGGTGGTCATGAAGCTCATGGATATGGTAGGTATGGTATCCTGTGGAGAGAGGCAAACGAGTGGATGCAGAAGCACAGCAAGAAACGACCAGCAAGGAGGGGGGTGGTGAGGACAATGCAGCACCACCATGCAAGTTGAAGGTCAACCCGCGGTGGATCCAAAGATTGCTCACCGCCCATGGCTACAAAAACCGTTGTCCAAACACTTATGGAGAATACCTTGAGTACGATGATGAAAGAATGGTGCGTGCCCGCAAACAATTCACCTTCATGAGGCCTGAGGGACATGCAGTAGTAAAGCAGGTCAGCTGTCGTGCGCTTAGTACAGTCCAGTTCCAGAGTGGTGTCCTTGATGAAGAGCACACTCCTCTGAAAAACAACAAGTATTGCTTTAGGGTGGCTTTAGTATGGATCCTTGATTGGTCTTTGCATTGGTTTTTTCCCTTTCATCTCTATGCATTTTTTCATCATGTATATTGACTCTCAGAAACAGTTGTGGGCATCATCTTATGAAGCACGGGTTCCTGTGATCTTGCATTGTGGGCCAGGCTTGAACACAGTGTCCGACTTGACCTTGTGCTGAACTTTGACCAACTGTGGAAGCAGTCATGGGCTTCTCCAAAGCGCGTTTTGCTCAGAACCCAAGCTGCTGACTGCCCATCCAGATTGTTGAAAGGTCGCAGGGAGCAAGTGGCTCAGCATATCGTGGCTTTACAGCAGAAGGGCCAGTGGGAATGGGGATTCCGCAAGCGCACGATCATAGGCAGGGGTGTGTTCAAGCATACGTGCATATAGAGAAAGAAAGCTTGAGAATTCTCAGGAAAAGTGCTCGTGTTGACTGTGAGTTGACTGTCAATTGCATGGCAGCTGTATAAGGTATAGCAGGTTCCAAACACGGCAACAGTAGATACTGCGAAAAAGACGTGGAGAGGTGGCCCTTAGCATCCACTCCACCTTTGTGGGGTTGTCACAGGTTGTGTTGACTATGGATACACCATGATGCCGATCAACGATCGAAAAAATCTTCCCGGGTTCTTCAAAAAAACAACCATCAAGTCAGGGAAGAAAAGAATTCTGGAATCCCCCGTATCCCCCCAGCTCAATGTTGCTGATTGGTCTCCTGACATGTACCGACCTGAATGGCTGTTTCTTTTGAAGGTCGCTGCTACCGAGCCTGACCCGACAACACGTTGAAGTTGGGGTGCAAGGGGTTGAGACAGGGACGTGGAACAACTCTGGCGATGGCTGTTTTTTTGAAGAACCCGGTATTAATCAAGCCCATCTGCCCCCAGAAAACTCAGCAAATAGTTCATTGATGTAGTGTGTTTAAAGCTGCAATATACTTATCTTACCAAATAACGTCCAGTATCTTCCCATGGTGAAATTCATCCCATGGTGAACATGATCTTCTGATCCGACCTTCTGATTGCTTCTCCTGAATGCTCATGCTACAAACCAATCTGATTATCAATGTTCTCCAAAGCAACATGTTCTACAATCCCTAAAAAGTATCTAGCAAAACTATGTTGTCTTTATTCATCTTCCCTTATTAAAACTCTATCAACATCTTAAGGTTTTCAAGCTCACAAAGGTACTGCAATGGTTTTCGCATTCAGTTTCCTTCTCATCCAACTCTTCCCAATCAAACCACTGATTGGACACTTGCTCATCCATCATTCATCATCAGGTCATCACCCTTATTAAGGGGACGTGGTCTCCAATACCTCCAATCTCAAACCTTGTTGACCTTGATGACCTTGAACGGGGCGTTGATTAATCCGACGTCGACATTACATTGGGTGCTTAAAGGAGGCAACTATGACCAATGGTCAAGATATGTAAGATTCAAGAACCACCCAAAACTATAGGGGTTATGAAGAACACCTATACTTACAACCCTGAAGGTTGCCGCGCACATTTTTGTGATGCGGTTGTGCCGTGACACATCTCACCCCCCAAACCAGCCCCTTGAAGCGAGTGGCATAGATTCGGCCCATATCTTCGATGTAGTGGATCAACTCCAACTTCCCCATCTCATTGGCATAGTCCTGATAGTCCTGCTGGTTGGTGGTTCCGGCTCACTTGAAGAATATGAGTCAGTGGGATGTATCATCCCAAGTAAGGGTTGAACATAAATATATCTGAAAGCACCACCCAAAGGGCGAGGGCGAGTGCCAGTCGTGATGGAGATCACCTGTCGCATCCTGAGGATTAAATAATTGGCCGAACATGTGGTCGTCCAATACAGTAGGCCCCCCAGGAGCTCTTGACACTTCTTTGGAGCAGCGGAAGGCTCTTGACAAAGGCTATAGGCACCTTAGCATTGATAAGGAAAACAGGGCCTACCTGCTTTGGGCAGGGCCTTGGCCTAGTGTGATTCCAACTCGCATCACCAGGTTCGATGGCGGGATTAGCCACTCTCGAAACACCGCGGCGGGATTCCTGATGTCCGCAAAGGTTAAGTGGTTGAAGTGCGGGCGTGTGAAACAACATTGCAGTTTTTTTTTGCGTGGAATCCGGAATCCTTTCTGGAGTTGGGTCACACCGATTCAAGCTGAAGTCAAAGTAGAGACAAAAGTGACACACATACAGTGACATGAACACCCATTGGTGGAGGTTTCCCTCCTTTCGCCATGTCACCTTTTTCTGTACAACCTCACATTAGTCTTCCAGTACCACATCGCGGTTGCAATAGCAATGCTCACTCATCCATTGTCTCGGGAATCAAGGCCCTCAAACACGTAGGGTTTTGAGGGTCCGACCCCTGCTGATTCTGGGAAATTGAAAAGAACCCCATGCAATGAGAACAATCGCGCACCGCACCGCACAAACGGTCCACGCGGGCGCCACGCGGGCCACTTATTGGGCAGCACCCAAATGGTGGGTTCCGATCCTATCATTCCTCCATCTTCCTCCCAAACCAAACCAACGAAACATAAAGTCTAAACATAAACATAACTAAACCATCCAACCAAAACCAGTCCAAAACCAACCAAACCAACTAAACACAGCTAAACCATCTCCACTCCCAATGAGAGCACGCTCCGCTCCATTGAAACCACCGTGCGCTCCGGGTCGCTCGGACCGGGGCTCCGGACCGTGGCGCGCTCGGTCTCGCCGATGTTGATCGCCGCGGCGTGCAGGACCTGCGGAGCACGGAGCACGGGCTCAGCTCTGTTCCGCTCACTGGACAAGAAAAAGGAGAACAACCTAATGGCGATGGCCTCCAACCTAATAGCTCTGGCCTCCAACCCAATTTCTATGGCCTCCAACCTAATGGCGATGGCCTCTAACCTA